TTCAATTTTGTTATGAATACTTTGCTTGCTTCCAGGCTGATTTCTTAGGCAGTACAATTTCAAAGAGCGTGTATGGTTCATTGCTACCAGTTGTTCTCACTCTGTCTGAGCACTGCCACTGGACAACTCAGCAGCACCTGGGCACTTTCGCTTATCCATTCAACTGCCATGATATTTAAAATTCAGAGTTGTAAGTGTGATGCTGGCAGGCCAGCAGGTCAGAACCATAGGCCAATTCACTTGTGTGTGAATATCAAAGAAATGTTGAGTGTACTAGTATTCATAGACTAATTCACTTGTGTGTTAAATGGTATTATCTTCACTTATCTATAACCTGTTGATTGCTATAGCATTACATTATTTATATCTCTGTACTTAATTAACCATAGATCGAAGGTGTGTATTAGTATTACGATGAGAATTTACTTGATGTGTAAACTTCATGAAAACTAATGAAAGGTTGTTGTATTACAATTTGCATTGCGTATATCCCTGTAATTATGTTTACCCATCAAATGTGATTGGAGCCTTGGAAATGTAAATGAAGAAGAATGCTAACGTCAAAGCAGGGGTCATTGTGTTCAACAATGGAAATTCACACACCCAGTCTGCATTTAGTCAACAAAGGAGAAGCCCATGCTCTGAATGCAAACACTTGCCAGGTGGCTTTCCCTGGAAAGGAGCTATAAGAATGGATACAGGGAACAATCTTGTATCTCTGAACAATTTGGACACTCACAGGGAAGCATTTCAGATGCAAGACAGAGATCCCCATAGTTATTTTGGGTAACCATGAGAGACTTATGGAAAACTAGCATATTACTACATTTCTACTATCATTTTGGACTTACAAACTTAGACTCACCTGTTAATGTATTTTACCTGCTTTAAACTTTCAATAACTCTCATTAATTTTTTTAGCTAATCAACATTTAGTTAGTTTACTAAAGAATTGGCTGCCAGAGTTATCTTTGGTAAGTAAGATCCAGAGTACCAGTTGACCTAGGGGAAAATAACTGACCTTTTGGGGTTGGGAGTAACTTGAAATGGTATGATTTTTGGTTTATCACTAACCCCAGTTGTTTGAGTGACAAGAGGGGCCGGAGAGCCTAAGGGGACTGTCTGTGACTCCATGGCAAGACTAATACACCTCTACCCCGATATAACGTGACCCGATATAACACGAATTCGGATATAATGCGGTAAAGCAGCTCTCCGGGGGCGGGGGGGGCGCGCACTCCGGTAGATCAAAGCAAGTTCGATATAACGCGGTTTCACCTATAACGTGGTAAGATTTTTTGGCTCCCGAGGACAGCGTTATATTGGGGTAGAGGTGTATAATGATCCAGGAGTTCACACTTGTTACTGACTTGGTGAAATCTAATTATAGAGTATATCACCAGTTTGGGGTGTCTGCCCTTTTTTCTGACAGTCTGATCTGAGATTGGCACTTGTAGTTGTGAGCCACTCCAGAAAGTGTCACAGTAAGTCTCCAGAATTTTTTCTCTCAGTTTCATAAAATGAACTGAAGGTTTTGATTAATTTAAAAACAACTACTGTGGCTTATATTTAACATTGTATTGCCAGTTCCCAGTTTTAAAACCCCTTTCCCACTCACCCCAGTATCCTATAAATAAATCTTTCACCCAGTAAGAGCATATGAAGTCTTCAGTTATAGGAGTGATTTTCACCCTCTACCTCTGAAAATTTCTACAGTGGAAATGAAACCTTGGTGTGGTAAGTTATACTGTAGATGTTGCTGTCTTCCAGGTCTGTTTTCTTGGGCCTGATTCTGCAATGTGTGCAAATTTCTATTATGTTACATGGGGGAACTTCTTCCTGCGTGATCATGGCCCCACAGCAGTTATATCCCACTGGAAAAATGGAAGTGTCAACTAAAAGAAAAATACAGAAAATAGAGTTTTCCCTGCAGCTGCCCTAGAGCCATTGAACTTGCTTCTGGAAGAGAACAGGATGACAATGAACCTTGCAGAAATGAAAAACTAATGTCTTTGCTCTAGTGTTCTTTCAATAATCATACAGTAAAAAGAAAACACACAGCCTCCCCCCCTTCCCCCCAAAAACCCTCTTTCCCTACAAGATGAGGCGAGGTGGGATGGAGGGAGAGATCATGCATTCACTTTGATAAATTTCTGATGTGCTGAGATAGCAGAACGATGGCACGATATCAAAACCTAGAGTGGCAGACCCTGTTCATATTACCTGGTATATAATTGCTTTTTTTGGAAATTCAGCAGAGATTAGTCAGTGGATTCATCAAATTAATTATAAAATTCCATGTAAAATAACATTGCCCCTTTGCTGAGCCACAGCTGATTTCTGGGCCTTACAGGTCAGCTTCCCATTGGAGCAGAAGTTGGTGACGAAGATTTGGGATTTATTCTGAGTGTAATTTGTTTGTACATAGAGTGTATAGTTTCCTTGAACAGGGGAGCCCACAAACAACATACAGGCAATCCACTGATACAAAAACCTCAAATAAAACATCATTGATCAAATAAAACATCAAGAAGCAGCTCTCTTGGACACTCTTGGAATCTCAGTGCTTAAATACACTATTCCCTTCTCAACAGCTGGGCTTCTCACCTGGGGGGAGCCTCTTGCCCCAAAGCAGTTTATTTAAACAGCACATGACTTCAGAAGAGTGAGTCTGGACATCAGCCTCTAGCCCTTTGTTTGCAGCATTGTTATGTAAAGAAAAGGAATCTTGGAAAAGGTTGACTGCATAGATGAAGGGTGCCTTAACCCACAGTGAATACAGTGAGAGTATCTGAGTGTCTATCGATCTCAAATCAGAACATGCATGACATTAACATGTCTTTTTTTATCCTAGTTATCCTTAAATTGTAAAGTGAAACACCCAAAAGTCAGGAAATGATAAGGTGAAGATTCCCTGCACAACCTTAACTCTGCCCTCTTGTGCACATGGAATATGATACAGTTTTAAATTCATTATCACATTATTTTTCCAACTGGGCCCCTAAGATGTTCAGCGCTCAAGATGAATGGTACTCAGCAAATGAAGCAGCACTTCAATAGTTTGTTTTCTCCTTATTGTTTAGTGGCCCCAGGCCTCTCTTTTTGCACATCATAAAATTAGCTTGGCCACATGGGAGCAGGGTTTATGTGGCACGGGAAATGAAAACTGACTGTTTCTTTGTTTTCCATTTACATTTTTATTAAAATGTTATATGAATTGATTTTAACCCATTTCAATATAGAAAAAAAATTAGAAACAAACTTAAAAAAATCAGTGTGATACAACAGCAGAAAAAGAAGTTGAATTAAAAACAAAATACTGCAAGCAGTTTGTCAAAGGAACAGATTTTGTTTGCTGTTAACAATATTTGAAAGAAAACAAGATCATGGTGAACTTGGACTTGTAGCTGCTTTGCATACTCATTATTATTAGCAGTGATCCATGTTACAACATTACCTGTGCTTAGTTAGGAGTATGCCTGAGTCAAGCTGTCACAGAAACTGTATTTAGTGCTCTTCCATGACCTCTGCATTTTAAACAATTTTACTGTGATTTTCTCCTTTGTATTTTTACATTTGGTTCAAATCATTTTTCTGTGGGTTGAAGGATTCAAGGCTATTAGATTGACGGGGACCATGTCCTGTTTGGTATGTTGCGAGCAGTTTGACCATCCTGTAGAGCAATCAGGAAGGGAATCTGGTTGGGTGGAGGAAAGGGTGTTGTAATATTTGTGACTCCCTCATGGCTTTTGCCTTTGTCCTTTGACTAAGCTGTGGCTTTTGAGACCTGTCAGACCCTTTCCATAATACATATAGGACTTGTCTAGGCTAGGATTTGGAAGGTGTTAGTTTACACTTATTAGCCTATTGTAGACAAGATAATGTATCTTTAACGCTGTTTAGCTCAGCTCAGCTGGGGGGTTCCTATTTCTGTGTGAAGTGGTGTGCTGTCAAAGCACAGTACTCTCCCCACCTCTGCAGGGCCTCAGGGTGGGCTAAAGGAGGTGGCTCTGTCTTCCCTTCTCCCTAACTTGGAGGTTTGTGTGGTGGTGGAAGAGCTCTTGATAAAATACTACAGTATTCTATAGCAGGGGTTCCCAAACTGTGGGATGTGTACCGCCACCGGTGGTACATGAGCCTGATGTTCTACCAATTGACTTCACAATGTTTTTTATGGCAGTGGTACATGAACTAATAAAGTTTGGGAGTTGCTGTTTCATAGTAATCATACTAAATACTGCAGTAGCATTCTTGTAAGACGTAGTGTTTTGGATTACTGCTATAAAATACTATAATACATTTACTGAGGGTGCTTTTCCTTTCTTTCCCGGCCCAGAGATTGGATTGGCCTGGCAGGGGATTCCTCCTGGGTCTACTGCGGCTACTCCTGTGTTAGGGAGGGATTGTGGTGTTCTCATGCCAAGTCCTGGGGTTGAGTTCCTTGCATTGGTGGTTCTCTTTTCCCACCCTACTAACTAAGTCTAAGCACTTGGAGTTAGGTTTTTTTTTTTCCCTTTCTTCTTCTATTGCCCTTGGAAGATGATTTCCAGGCTCTTTCTTGATCCCGCCTTGCTCCACCCCCTGGCTCTGATATATAACCAAATACAGATCTAGTGTAAATGGCTCCCATACTTTTGAAGATAATGGAGTTGCACTCGCTTACCTCAAGTCTGCGTTGAGTACCAGATATTTTTAAAGGTTAGACTAATGTGAATTTAACCTTTGGGCCATATTCAACCCATGTAAATCCACAGAAGTCAAGACTTATGCCAGGGATGAATTTGGGCCCAATAATAATATGTTATATATTAGCTCTGGTGTCATTTTTAAAACACCTAACAGGTTGGTGATTTGCAATCCTGGGGTTGGTTAGCTGTGGTAAGGGGAGACGTTTATTGCATGGTGTCCTTTTCCTTCCCGTCTCCTGTGCCCGGAGATCCATTCCAGGTTTTCCTTTTCGCTCTGCTTCTCTATTTCGCCTATGCAATGTGTAGCACGTTTCTCTCTCTCTCTCTCTCTCTCTCTCTCTGTGTCTCTTTCCCTCAATCACTGTGTCTGTCTCCAGGATTTTTCCCTTCCTACTTCAGGAGGCTGCTCCTGCAGGCTCCGTCCGCGTGTGTGAAGCAGAGGTTCCCCTGGATCCCGTAAATACAACCCTATATGGACTCTCACCCACCCACACAGAGTAACACCACCAGAGGCGCGCGCGCACACACACACTCACACACACTTGTGCATTCTCCAGTCCATCCCCACACGGGCAGACAGGGAGTGAGGGCTCGCCAGCCTCACACAGGCAGGCACAGCTCAGTGGCTCCAGGATTTTGCTGCCCCTGTCTCGGGACTCCGATCCGCAGCAGCCAGCCAGACCTGTGTGTGTCGCGGAGGGGTTGTTCGAACTGGGAAAGAAGAAGCGGGCGGGGGGCGGCCGCTGCTGCTCCTGACCGCTAGTGTGTGTGCGCACATCTCCCCTTCGGCTTATAAAAGTTTGCCTCAGCAAGCCGGGGGGCTCCTCGCTCCCCCTCTGCTGGGGGACCCCGTCTGCTCCTCACCCTGGAGGCACCTCGGCTCTGTTCGCAGCGGGTGAAGGTGGGACCGTTCCCCGGGATTTATTGAGCTGGATTTGCATTTTGCACCATGTCTTCTTGGATCGCGGCTCCGCTGGTGGCTTTAACCGGGCTGCTGCTGTCACTTTCGGCCGGGGCTGATGTGAAGGCTCGGAGCTGCAGTGAGGTGCGGCAGGCGTATAGTGCCAAAGGCTTCAGCCTGGTCAATATACCCTTTCAGGAAATAGCAGGTAAGGACCAAGGGTGGGCGGGATGGGATGGAGGGGGAGGATGTGGCGAGGAAATGTGTCTACGTGTGGTTACAGCATCCCACCAGCTTCTCCTTCCTCTTTCCCTTCTGGATTAGTTGAAATGTTGTTCACTTTTGCCTGGTCTCTCTCCTGCCCCCCCGGGCTCCTTACCCGGGAGCAGGGGTCAGCTTTTCTCACAGCCCTGCACGCTGGGCGGCTGGGGTCGGGAGCCGGGGCTATGAATTGCCTCATTGTGTGTACACAGTGAATTTGGTTTGTCTTTTTTTTTTTTTGCTCGGGACAGTCTGACAGTGACGGGACCCTCCAGGAAAGCGCGCGCCAGAGGAGGGGCAGGCTCTGGGAGGGAGGGAGCGCTCAGCGCCCCAGCCGCGATTACACGGGTGGCCTTTGGAAACTTCTTAGAGTTGCTGCTGGGTTATTAAAGCCAGCGAGCCGTCCTGATGGTGGGTCCTGCCTCCACTGCCCGGTCCTGCGGGGAGACAAGTTTGCCCTTTGCCAGTGGGGGCCTCGCGGGGATGGGGTTCTCCCCACTGCCACCGGCGGGCTCCTCTGCCTGCAGTTTGGATCAAATTCTGGTTCGCTAGAGGATCTGCACATACATTTGGGTTTTACGTGAGGCAAGAATTTACAAACACAGTGAAAGCGACTCGTCTCATAAACATGACTCCGGTTAATCAAGTCTCAGCACAGACTCCCACGAGCGAGCACTGAAATCAGCCCCATCCACCAGATTCCTCCACCCCCAACCAAGAAAAGGAGGGGAACCTGGGCAGCAGCAGCTGCTGGGGAGAGTTTCCCTGCTGTTCTGAAACATTGTTACAACAGGTTCATTTCAACCCTTCTTTCTAAAACAGGGATTTTTTTTCAGTTTATTTGCCAGATTTTAGCTCCAACCATATATTCATTGCATCTCTAGGACTGACTGAATAAAAACGTGTCCGGGAAAGAGAATCTTTTGGCAATCGGAGAGTAGAGCAAAAGAGAGGCAGGGGGATGACTCGGAAATGCACGGACTTGGGCTGCTCAAGCCCTCCGGAGAGTAATCCGCTTTGCGAACTCCTAACACTTTGCTGGTTGATTCTCCTGTTTGCGCCGTGAATTGGGCACTCCGTGGTTTGTTTCCTCGCTTTTTTAAAAGTTGGAAGCAGTGAATTTTTCTCTCTTTGGATTAAATAATGCCAGTGCTGCTTACTGTTTATTATCTGGCTCTTTATCATCATGATGTAAACAGTGTGGTGCAAACATCTAAAGATCTTAAACGTGCCAATCTATAGAACAGGAATGCTGTTCCACAATATCGATACATAAGGGTCCTCCAGATCCCCAGGTGTAAATGAACATAGCTCCACTGAGTTCCCTGGAGCCATAATTAAGAGGCACACCAGGTGAGGATCTGCCCCATTGACACATTTTGGACAGGGACGGGAGAGTGAGGGGCCTATGCTTATGGCAATTCAGAGACCTCTCTTCCTCCAGCTCAAGCTCTTGCTCTGCTTTCTGTGCCCCTTTTGGATTTCTTCTCGAATTGCTAATCAATTATATGAGAGTTCTTCTGTGAGCCACATGCCCTCCGAGTTTCTCAGTCATGCTTTCCCTTCACTTACGGTAATTTTCTTCTCTCAGATTGACAGTGACAGGTCTAAAAATCCTAGTGAATTTCAAACTTTTAATGGCTTTGAGTAGATAGTTCTTGTTTTCAGCTCACCCAGAAGTGTTAGTTTCTTCTCCACTTTTTATTTTTTATTTTTTAAATCAATTAAGAGTGGCCATGCAGTTTTTTAAATATCTTCCTTAAGTGTCAATTGAGCTTACAGGTTTCTATTAGTAAGTACTGATACCTAATGATTGGTTGCTAGTCAAATATTCATAAATAATCATAGTTAAAGCCATGATTTCTCTTATCATCTCCTCTTTTATGCTTGTGGAATACAAAATTGATGCAGCTGTATATGTTATTTTTCCTAAGCATCCTAACTTTAAAATGCAGTTGGCTTTCCTTAATGTTTCACTATTTTGAATCTGGGTGAGATGATACTTTTAAGCAGCTTACTTGTAGACTGTGGTATACTTGATTGTTGGGAAGACTGTGATTATATTGTGTTTAGGTAATGTATTTAGCAGTATGCTGTTTTGCACATGCTGCTGAGTGCTTTTGTAATAATTGCTTGGGAAGGCTACCCTGTTGTTAAATGGAATGCTATCTATTTGTCATTAGATCTAATTATTATAAGCATTTAATTACAACAGCCAACATAAGGATTTTATGGTGCTTGGTTTGCTTGTTTGATTTATTTTCCTTTCTGGTCTTTTTTGACTTACATGAACTATAATTGCTGGTCAGTGAAACAATCTATTGCAGCATTAGTGTGTCAAGGTGCATCAGATTTCATACATTTGAGTAACTGCTTTATTTTCAAAGGAATTCGATGTTGATCATTTGATAGTATGACTGAAAAGTAAATGATGCATAGTTTTATTTGTGTTTTTGGAGTTTAATATAGTTACACTTTAACTTTTGTTTTTTAAGAAGCTACCTTTTCTACATTGGACTATTTGAACACATATATTAATGCTAAGCTTGTGTAAATAAGATAGGTACCAGACATGGAGGAACCCAAGTTAAAATCACTTGCAAAACAAAATTTGCTGAATACCAGCACACCTTATATACATACATTAATATTAATACACCATTGTTATTGGGATTAGCTTCTTGTAGTAAACCTGCCCCCACCCCCAGACAAGACTTTTTAGATAAGCTCTGTTCACACTAGTACTTCTCTTATTATTTTTAAAAGTTTGGGGGAAAATATGTTTTTTTCATAATATTTCTAATGTTACATATGCACGGTAAGACTGTTTTTTCTGTACAGTATTTTGATACAAATGAAATATGTGTTAAAGTCAATGATAATGTGATTATAATGAGTATATTTATTTGCAATTATATTGTAGGCTCTTATTTTAGTGCTAAAGTGTTCAATGCGACTTGTGCAGTACCTATCAAATGTAGTGACTGACCCTACAATCCTAAATATCCTGGGTTTTTGGGGATGTTGCTCATTGAATTCCAGTGCTGCAAACTACTTTGGAGTATTGCACAGAGAGGTATTTTCAAGCACTTAGGGCCAAACACTGGTCTTGTGGCAAACTTTGCCTGGGAGTGTCTTGGTGGAAGAATCCTCACTCATGTGTTATCACAGAAAGCAATATTGCAATGCATGTAATATTGATACAAATTTTCTTCCAGACATCGATATCCCTGGCACAGCTGACAGTAGCTTCAGGATCTACTCAAGGATACCACAGTAAAACCTGTCCTCTTGTAAAACTGCTAGTGAATGAATTCCATCTCTCATAGATGCGATGAGAACATTGCATCAGAGTGTCACAAAATAACCTTTGTGTAAAAATATTGAAAGGATAATGAATTTGTCTATTTAAATGATGGTGTCACAAATACAATAAAATTATTGTATGTACAGAGTACACTTCTTCAGGCTTCTTGTGAAGGATGGTGTTATTGTGTGTGTGTGTATGTAAGAATATCAGAATCTGACCCTTTAAGATATTTTATATGAAAGTGAAATGTCATAGTAAAAAAATCTGTCAACAATACTTGTTAAATTCAAACCACGATTTCAGTAACTTTAAGCATCTGACTTAAGGCAATGAAAACTGAAAGTTCAAAGTTAAAGTTGGAGCATGTCCTTACCTCACACTGTTCAGAATAAACTGCTCCACAATTTAAAAGCCAAGGTGGTGTCTGAATTATGCTTTTTCTATTTAAATGAGATCCTTAGTCTTATTTAAACGTCTTTGTTCAGTTCCCTTTTTTACTTAAAAAATGAAGTATTTTATAGCAACATTTGAAATACAGATTGTTTACCAAAGAGATCAGGATGTCTGTTTTGGAGTAAATCTTGAATAACTGAGTAATTACAGTGCTCCTTGGAAAAATTATTGAAAGGTTTGGAGTTCTAAATATCACTTCAAAAGTCTGTAAGTCTGTTCTCCTGTGGAAATGAAGAGCAGGATAAGATTCAGTCAGCCAAGAGGCACTACAGTGAAATTAGTCAGAGCAGAATCAAGCCCTTTATTTTGAAGGTCAGGAGTCTCCTGAAGTTAATTTTGACAAAGTGTCTTTACAATGGCGAGATAGGGAGCACTGGATTAAAGAAAAAAAAGCCCCTTCACCACCCAAAAGAAAACAAACAACTCCAGCTTGTTGTAGGCCCTAAAACAATAATTAAAACTACTGCATAATCATTCATGTAATTGAGATATTAATTTGTCAGAAGCACACAAAAAGCTTTTTCTTAGTGTTTCCCCCCCCTTACTTATCCTTAGAATGCAATGACTGGTTGCCAGAAGACCATTGGGAAAGCCTGGTGGTCAAACTAGTGTCAAGCAACTTATTATTTAGTTATAAATTCTATTGCCATCTCCATTGAAGTCAGTGGGAACTCTGTGAGCAGAGTGGCTGTATAACTGGACACAAAGGGAGATTGAAAAAGGCTAAGGACCTGCTTCAGATCTCTGAATAGTACAAATCAGAAGTAATGACTGAAATCAGTGCAGTTTTTGTGAAATCAATATTGGGCCCTTAGAGATTAATGCATCCTTGAACTGTGCTCAGTGCAAAGACTGAAGTGGGGATGGGATTTTATGTGATCTTTGCACTGCCCCTGTGCTAGAGCTGCCATAGCCTGGTTTAGCCCTGGTGCAAGTTAGAATAGCCTTGTGGGCTGCCCTAACTTGTGTCTGGCTCATGATCCCCATGAACCATTCCAATAGCCAGGACATAAAATAATGCTGTTGTCACACCTTCCCACTTTGGTAATGCCCTGGCTGATTACCTGTTCTGGAGGCTTCTTTAGGGGGTGGGGAGTGCCTGCTATTCTGACTGCAGCAGCTGGGAATACCCAGTGGAGGAACTATTATGGCAGCTTTACAACCACTTAATGCCAGCAGATCCT